CTGTTCACCATACCTCCAGTTCCTAAAACCGTACCTGGCACAGGATAGGTGCTGTATCCGTGTCCCATGGCTGCTGTAACACATTACCACAAACCCAGGGCCTTAAAACAACACGCATTCATTATCTGACAGTTCTGGAGCTCAGAAGTCCGAAATCAAGGTGTCTGCAGGGCTGGTTCCTTCTGAGGCTCCAGGGAGAATCCATTCTCTCGACTTTTCCAGATTCCGGAGGCTGCTGCATTCCTTGGCTGTTGGCCCTTTTCCATCCCCAGAGCCAGCCATCGTCACATCTCTAACTCTGACCCTCCTGCCTCCCTCTTTCTCTTATAAGGACCCTTATGACTATAATGGGCCCACCTGGATAATGCCGGGTACCCTCCCCATCTCAAGACCCTTAATCCCATTTGCAAAATCTCCTTTTGCCTGTTAGGTAACATCCAGGTTCCAGGAATTAGGACGTGGATATCTTTGTGGGGGAAGGGGGCATTCTGCTCAACAAAATATTGACTGAATAACTGCGTGAGCGATAGAAGGAATGAACAGCGTACTCTTACACCACCTTCCAGGCCTCTGCAGCCCTTCTCCAAGCTTCAGAGGGTCGATGCTCATTGTTTTCTTTGTTTCCGAGACAGAGGAAGGAGGCGTGGACAGTATCGGAGGGCTGAACTCCATGGATCTGGAGGACAGTCTGGATTAGAAGAATCCAGGTTGTTCCTGTCTGTGGTTCAAATCCCAACTCAGTCACTTATTAGCTACAGACAATTGCTTATAGCTTCTAAGCTTCAGTGTTCCCATCTGTGAAATGGGGATGAAACTGGCTGCCGTTGACTGAGCCCCCACTCAATATTCAGCCTCTGAATTAAAAACCCCATTCCTGGCCTATCATTGCAGTGTGACCTTGGGCAAATGGCGTGACTTCTTGATTTCCTTGGTGGTGGAATGGGTCTAATTCTAACAGCTGCCACATGACATGCAACCATCCATCGTAGTGAACGGATTAAATGAGGTCCTATCTGTAAAGGGCTCATTTGGCAGTAGCGCTTGGTACCCAGTAACACTCAACAAAAAGCGGATCTATTATTATTTTTCTTATTTCTTATTTTCTTCTTCTTCTTACATCTTTTCCTCCTATTCTTTTTCCTCCTCTTCCTTCACTCTATCACTGATTTTTCCCTGGTGTCACTGTGTTAAATATTTTTAAGTGTTTTTCTCATGCCTGACTCCTCTGTTAGCCCGAGTCCCGTCTCCCAGGTCGGAGCCGCAGTTTTTCATTTTAGAGCTCTACGTAGTGGGAATGCTTTATTCCTGTCGAGGCTTCTGTTTGTCTATCTGGCTATCAAGGTGGTTTCAAGGACCCAGGTGGCTGCTCTCTCCCCATTGTTGATGGAGGCACTTCCGAGAGGGCATCGACAGCCAGACCTATAGAACACAGGAACCATCTTTCTCTCTAACACTTTCCCTTTCCACGTACTGCAAATGAAAATATCCAAGAAGCGAAGTCTATTATTCTACTCCTGGGACCCAAGGCACCGGGGAGGCCCACAACTCTGCCTCCGTGCCTGCGTGACTCCTTATCAGAAAATTAGAGTAGAAAAGAAGCTTTTGTTCAGCCATGGAGACATCTTAATAGGCGCTTTGATTGTTAAACAGAAGTTTCTGTATCAGTTTAATTGCTGTAAATGCTGTTTGCCTTCTCTGTTATGATAAAGCTTGGATTTTCATAGATTTTCCCCCTTCCCTTTAAACCGTTTTCCTTTGCTTGAAGACTTGCACTGGCAAATTTAATGAAATCCGAACGAAGAAAGGAAAAAGATCTGGAAGTTCAAATCTTCACACCCACGTACACAGCCGTGTGGAGGTTATTATTGCTCGAGACTAATGATGCTGCAGCCGCTTAATGTAATTGACAGAACTCACCCCTTCAACCAGATATTGGGAAATGAATCCCAACTACTAAACTTAATTACTTCTAGTTTTTTTGAGAAGGTGCTGTAATTGAGAATAACAGAGTAACTAGGATATGAATCTAACAGTGAGAGGTGCTTATAATGAAAGATTTGTTCTCTGCTGACTTGAGCTTCAGAAGTACCATCTCGGGTTTTTTTGGCGAGGGATGGGGTGGAGAGGTGGCTAGAGAAATGAGAAACATTCAGACCAGGGTTCTCAACCTCGGCACTGTAGATATTTGGGGCTGGGGTATAGATGTTTCTTTGATGTGGGGGTCTGTCCTGTGATTGTAGGATGTTGAGCAGCATGCCTGGCCTCAACCCATTAGATGCCAGTAGTATTCCCCACCACCCCCAGCGTGACAACCAAAAATATCTCCGGGCATTGCCAAATGTCCCCTGGGGGGGCAAAAAGCCCCTGGTGCAGGGGCTTTTGGAGAACTTGCAAACAATTGCAGACTTACTCCTTAAAGTTCTGCTAGTGCTTGGCTGTGTGACTTTTAGCAAGGCACTGGACCTCTCTGAGCTCCTGGATCTTCCTTGGCAGTGTGGGAATAATGAGAATAATGGCTGCATAGAGGCATAGCTTCCAGGTAGAAACTGCACAGAATAACACCTAACACATATTGAGTGATTGATAAACTCAGTGTTTCTATTATAGTACTCTTGGATTCAGCAAATGTATATTAAGTACTTACTTTGCCCAGGCACTATGCTATAAGGCAAGGATGCAGAGATAAAGATGTGGTCCCTGTCCTTGCAGGAATGGCAAATATATGCAGACTCATTGGTACTTCCTTATTCTTCATCCATGGCAGACATTGTTAATCAATCTTGGCACTCTTTCCATCGAGCCTCAGAATCCTTCTCAACACACCTTTCTAGACAGCCACTACTAATGTCCCATGAGATGAAGCCTTTTGGCACTCCTGGTTTTGTAGATTCCCCAGGAGGAGGCTGTGTGTCTGAGCTAACCCTTCCTCTCCAGCACAGCCGGCCCCCCTCCTGCCACCCTCGGCACTGGAGAAAATGTTTTAAGGAGTTAGCAGGTAACATCCTTCCTCCCAAATCTGACTTCAGTCCCCAAAGGAGATAGGAATGGAAAGAATGTGCACTCTCTCTCTCTTCAAATTGTTATTCTTTCTTGTCTTTTTTGGTTTCCCTCAGAAACTGAAACAAGTAAGAAAATGAGCTTGGATGTGATGACAGTTCATTTTTAGTTAAACTAGAGGAAATTCCACTGGCTATGACTCTGATTTATCTATCATGCTGTCTCCCTCTTGGGTTCTCTCTGCCACACGGGGCTTGGAAAATCATTAGCTCCCCCAGAAAGGGGCCCAGTTCTACAAGGGCAGAATTGGGGTTTCTGGAAGCAGCTTTCAGATGGCTGCCGATGGTGTCATTAGAGAGAAGAGAGGAGTGAATGGGTTGGGGGTTAAATGCTCCCTGATCGGTTCAGACATGCCCAGCTCCCCGGTGAGCTCGCCACTCCATAACAATTGCTGTGAAAAATGAGACGTGCATTTGAGCTCCGAACACAGCGAGCTGGCTCCATCCATCTGGCCTGAGAAATGCGAGCTGGCGTGTGGGTCAGCCACTTGCTTCTTCTCTCCCTAGCTGGTGGAGACTTCACAGGCAGCACTGGTTCATTTCCGCGTTGTTTCACACCTCTCTGGAGCCTTCAAGGCCTATGAGGAGGGGGTGCGGGCTGCTGGACAGTAGAGTGGAGCTGGGGGCTGGTGCTCAAGGTCTGCAGAAGTCCTGGGGCTCAGTCACGGGTGGAGTAAGAGTGCAGGGGGCTGGGATGTAGCCTAAGGCATGAAAGAAAAGACCAGATGGGGACAGGCACCTAGTGTGAGGTCTGTGTGATTTATTATTCCCTCCTCATTCCCATTCATCCCTCAGTCCATCCATGCATTCATCTATCCAGCCAGCCCTCCCTCCATCCATCCACCAATCCATCCACCTACCTAGCCATCTGCCCATCTACCCACTCATCTGCCCATCCACCGACCCATCCAACCATTCATCCAGTCACCTATCCAAACATCCATCCACCAATCCATCCACCTACCTAGCCATCTGTCTATCTACCCACTCATCTGTCCATCCACCGACCCATCCAACCATTCATCCAGCCACCTATCCAAACATCCATCCATCCATCCATCCATCCAAGCATCTATCCATCCATCTATCCATCCATCCATCCATCCATGTACCCACCCACCCATCCCTCCACCTACCAATTCATCTACTCATCCATCTATCCATCCATCCATCCAACCACTCATCCATCCATTCATCAATCCACCCACTTATTCTAGTGTGAGTTCAGGTGTTTGGATGTATTTTAAATAGTTACCTACAATACACAGAAAGTGATAACGGTTTTCCATATAGAGTTTGCTTTTAAAATAAATGTATGTAAACAAAAAAAAATGAGTCAACTTAACGTATTAAGTAAACAATTTTAGGGTTTGTACAGGAGCATGACAAAATTTAGGAAGCGGTATTTGACTGGCGTTTGGAATCTACAGCATTGGAACTTTGCATGCAAGGGCGCATGCTCTAGAGCCCCTCAAGCCTGGAGTCACAGCTGCTGTGCAGTCTACACGGTTTATGCCCTTGAGCAAACGACATCCTCTCTCCAAGCCTCAGTTTCCTCATCCGTAAGGGTCAGATGCTAACAACCCCTGTCCTCAGGGTTGTTTTGAGGATTTAAGGAGCTAAGGTGTGTGAGTCACTTAGCGCGTGCCTGGCCCACACTCTGCACTCTGCAAATGGAAGTGATGCTCGATGTTATTCTTTCCACAGCTGACTGCTTTCAAGGCACGCCCCGGCTGCCCTGCCCCGGGGACCTTGTGTGGGTTAAGATAACACAAGTTAAACCAGTGTTCTTGGCTTTGCTTTAGCAAGTGAAGGCAAGCAGTGTCCTTCCTGAAGCCAGGGAACCTCCCTCCTCCTCCCAGGGCTTGGCCGGAGCCCCCCCCCCCCTTCCCAGCCTCCGACCCTCCGTGTAACAGGCTCTTCTCCTCTCTTCTCTCCCTGCAGACACACTGTCTGTGCCGCGCTGGTCCCCGCAGATCCCTCGCAGAGACCTCGGCAACTCCATCAAGCACAGGTAGGCTGGATTCCTGTGTGTATTGGGGCCCATCTGCCAGCACGGTGAGGGCTGGGGGCTCTGGCCCCTGGGGTGGGGAAGGCCTGGGCAGAGTGTTTCACTCCAGCTCCTATGTCACCATTCTCTCTCCTCTGCTAGGGTGAACCTCAATTTGGCAGGGGACTGACATCTCGGCTTCTTATTATCCTGGCCCTTATAAAATTAGCACATAGTGGTTGAAAGCCAGGCCTTTGGAGTCAGATTGACCTGTGTTGCGATCCCAGGTAGTAAAGCTTTGCAACCTTGAAAGAGTTGCTTAACCTCTCTGAGACTCAATTTTCTCATCAAACAATTCTGCCTACTCATAGAGTGGTGGTGAGGATTAAATGAGATAATGTATTAAGGTATTAAGCAGAGGGCCTAGCAAATAATAACCATGCAACAAACAGCGCCATTGTTCAGAGAAATGCTTTACGTCCTAATTTGGGGTCCCTCCACCCAGAAAACACAAGATTGCAGGCTGAACTCAGAGGTGCTCACTCTGCTGAGATGGAGGGCAGCCCAGGGCTCCAGCCCGGTTGGGTGCACGGGACAGCCTCTCCAGGGGCACACCTGCCCTTTTCAGGAGGGAGATTTGTGTCTACTAGCCACCCCTTATAAGAAGTTCTTTAACTTTCCACAGGTTGCCTCATTATCCTCACAAACTCAGTGGGGTAAGTTGCGCAAGTGTGGTCATGCCCATTTGACAGATAGGGAAACCGAGGCCCTGGCCGATTAAGTGATGGGTCTACAAGCTAGTGAACCTCAGCACTTTGGACACCGCTGCTGAGAGTGTTCTCTGCACCGAGGCCTCTGTGAACCAGCTGAGGGACTTGCTCACTCATTCATGGATCCTTCCCGCTGGTGCTGGTGGAGAATTTCTGTGCAGGGCTGCAGCACGGAGCCCGGCGGAAGGCCTGCGCCCTTGGGGAGCTCGCAGTCTAGTGGAGGGTTAGACGGTTAACAGACCATGACAGTACGGAGGGAGCAGGGCTATTAGGGAGTGACACCAGGGGCAGACACATGACCGTAGCTGGGGGCGAGGTGGCAATGAGCACAGGCTCCCAGAATGGCATCTCGTCAACAGTTTTTGAAAGAAATATGTTGACAGAATAGTCCTTAAGACTCAAATGAGAAAACAGTGGAGGAAGCAGTGAGAAATACGCGAGAGATACGTCAATGGTCAGGCGGTGAGATGCAGGGACAAAGGCATCAAAAAGAAGGGCCTTTTTTTGGTTTGCTTTCGCACTGTCCCCTGGCTCAGCTCCACCCCTGGATTGGCCACACTCCTGGATCAGCCACACCCCCCGCCTTGGCTCCACCCTCATTGGCCACACCCTTGGATTGGCCACACCCCCAGCTCTGCTCCCCTGGGTTGGCCCCGCCCCTGGCTCCGCCCCACCCTCAGGCTCTCGCACGTGGTGTTAGACTGGGTGGTACCTCAGATTTAAACGCTGATGCCCAGAGGAGGGAAACGACCTGCTGGTCTTGGGCATCTGGAACGTCTTCTTAGAGGTGCTTGGCCTTGGGATGTCCTGTAACGCTTCAGTCTCACCCTGTGTTTCTCCCCGGGCTCGATGCCGGGAGGGAGAGACCGGAACTCATCCCACCGCTGGTGAAGAAATGAAATTAAAATCCCATCCTGTCCGCTGTCCTCACAGTCACCTCAGCCGGAGTTTGGGAAGAGGGAGAGCTGGGGATGGGAAGGGGCTAGAAAGGAGAGAGCGCGTCCACCTACCACTCCTGCTGCCTCCATTCCTGCATTGCTGGCTGGCCGGTGGATCACAAGCCAACTCGCCATCCCCCAGAGATGCCAAATCCTGCAAAACAGACCCCACCAAACTCACTGGCCTGGAGGAAGGGGCAGAAAGGGGCTCAACCACCCCCCCACCCCCATCCAAAACTGGAGAGGGATTTTCTTGGTCGCAAGAGTCTCTGTTAAGAATATTGCTATTTGCTCAGATGTGAGCAGGCTTTGCGCTACGGCTCATTCCGTTTAGAGAGTGACTGACCCAAATCAGGCAAGATGGCACAGCAGAGGGACGCAGGCTTGCCCTCAAAATTCTCAGGCACCAAGTTACATAATCACTTCCAATTTTCGTTTTGACACCGAGGCAATGGAGATTAGATACAACTCCTGCTGAAGGTGACAGAAATTGAAAATGAAAATTACCTCCGACCTGGCAACCTTCAGTCCTTTCCCTGGGCCCAGCCCTGCCGCTCCCCACCCGGTATCTCCTGGGGAGGAAAGCACCCCAGCAGTAGTGGGGGGCCCGGGAAGTTAATGTAATGCACTCTGTTCCCACTGGTTCCCCGCTGTATATCAGAGGCCTCCAGATGGCCTATGTTTGCAGCGAGCGTGGTGGTTGGGGAGGGAGGTGAGCTGATGGTCTGGAAAGGGTTGCACTTCAGAGGATTATGCAACTAAAGTTGGGGGTGTCAGCTTCCCAGGTGACATGGTGGGGAAGGGCTCAGCCAGATTCCCTGGGGGCCCCACCTTGTTTTTTGGTTCTCTGAGGACAGTTCCAGCCCCATCCGTTGGTCTGTCCCAGAACTGAACTTGGCACACAGTAGCCCCCAGGCAATATTCGTTGACTGAATGAATGACTGTCATGAATGTTCAGGTAATAATATAGTCACAACTCAGTTCTGTGAGCGCTTACTATGTGCCAGGTGCTGTGGGGAGCCATTGACATGCGTGACCTCATTTAATCCACCCAACAGCCTATGAAGTGAGTACAGTTGTTATCCCCACTTTACAGATGAGGAGACTGAGGCTCCCATGGTTTACGCAACTTGATGAAGCCAAATATCTCAGAAGCAGCAGGACCGGAATCCAGGGCCCATCCAGTGCTTCAACCCTTCAAGTGGTTCATCCTTCTAGAGATAGGCCAGTCACCATTGCCTTGCCCTTGAACATTTTCTGTCTCTTTTCAGGTTTTCCACCAAGTACTGGATGTCTCAGACCTGCACAGTCTGCGGGAAAGGGATGCTTTTCGGCCTCAAGTGTAAAAACTGCAAGTAAGTGGCTGTGCCCGAAAGTGACTTTGGGATGTCAGCGAGAGCCACCCTGGGCCCTGAAATAGCTTCTGGGGGTCTGGTTTCTTGACTCTCAGAGAGTTGCTTGCTCTGCTTTTCAGAAACGTGTCCTAAGTGAGCCTCCACGTTTGGGTACGGGGTCAAGGAGAGCAATCCCGAATAAGAATCGGAGCTGATAGATGGTGCTAGAAATGCATGCTGCTGTCTGTGGAGGCACAGCGGTACCTTGCATTTTCAGAGCAACTACGATCAGGGCTTGGTTCTTGAGTCGACCAAATAGTAAATATTTTAGGCTTTGTGGGCCATGGGGTCTCCGCCGTGTAGTTCAAAAAGCAGCCATAGACAATAATACATAAACAAATGGACATGACAAATTTACTTGTTCCTATAAAATCTTAGTTACAAAGGCAGGCTGTGGCAGCTTTGGCCCTAAGTTAGAGATTGCAAAGCCCTCTTCTCCTTTCTTCTTTCTCCTCACGGTACCTCTCTGAGAGCGAGGAAAGGTGTTATGATTCTCCCCATTTTACAAATGTGAAAGCTGAGTCTCAGCAAGGAGAAGTCACTTGCCTGAGGTCACACAGCTAGGAAGTGTCGCTCAGGACTTGAACCCTGACCTCCTAACTCCTGTCCTTTCTGTGGCATCATGTTGGTCTCAAGTTCTGTGGAGAAGGCCGGACCGCACAAGTCCCCCATGTCCCCCCACTTCCACACACCCCTTCCAGGTGACGGCTGGCAAAAGGTAGAGAGGCAGGAGAAAACTGTGAGACCCCACATGGACTCGGGAGTCAGACTAAGATGGGTTCACATCCTGGCTCTGCGACTCTCTAGCTGTGTGACCTTGGGCCAGTCACCTCACACTTCTGTTCCTGGTATTTTTATCTGCCTGAGAGGAATATTCATCACAGCTACCTGATGTGGGGGTGAGCACGCAGTAAGGGACACAGCCGGGTGCCAGGCTCAGAGTTCTGTCTTCCCTCAAAGGTTGCAAATGCCTTTCTGTCTGGCCTCCCTTTCTCCTTCCGCGAACGTGTGTTAAATACCCCCACTGTCCAATTACCATAAAATAGTCCATGACGTTCGCCCGTATGGAAGCGTTACAAATGAATGGGTACCCGTTTGCCTTATAGAAATACCTCTTTTACTTTAACAGTTTGTAGAAACCCTTTCTTTCCCCTCTAGCCTTGCTCTTCCTTGTCCAGCCCAGGCTGGGAACCCTCATCTGGGCTGCTCACGCCTCCCCACCTCCCTGGCCCGTGGTGGAGGTAGGAGAGCAGCAGGGGGGCGGGCTCGCTCTCCCAGCCACGATGTCTCACCTGTGTAACGCAGGTACGCCTGAGCTCCCTTCCCTCCTGGAGATGTGGAGGATTAGCTGGTCCCAGCTCCTAAAGGGTCTAAACTCCATGGCACAAGGGGAGGCAGGGCAGTGACGACTAAGCCTCAGCGTGGAGGCCTCCATCCCTCACCTTGGTCTTCCATAGACCCGAGCTCTCAGGTGAGCCCCCAGGATGGCGGCCCCTGGTCTTTCAGACTCAGAGAGGCACAAGGCCAGGCCCTCGAGTCCGCTCCGGGGCACCTCTGGGTGGGTAGTCCCACCGTGTTCTGAGGTGGGGCGAGGGAGGGAGCCGGCAGCTTTCACATCCTCTTACCTGCAGAGCCGAGGCTTTGAAGTCAGGTAATTAGGTGACAGGGACGCAGCCAGGAGTCAGCGAGGCTGAACGCTTCCTGAGCTGTTTTAATTTTCAGCGCTGGAGGCAGAACTCTGAGGCGGCCGTGGCTGCTGCTCTCTGTTCTAGAAGTAACGAGCAAAGGCTCAGACCTTGCCAAGGGTAGGGGGAAGAGGCAGGGGAGGGAGGGGGACTTGGAGGAGGGCAGTGGCTGCAAGGAACACAGGTTCCAGAAGCAGCCAGAACTGAGTCTGAGGCCCAGCTCCATGGCTGAACACCCTGTGTGAGCTTCAGCAAGAGACGTGTCATCTCGGGGCTCAGTTTCCTTTTCTGCAAAGTGGGCAGATACTAGCGCCCACTCGTGGGCTGTTGGAAGAGTCAGTGAAATCTCCTTGCCCTGGGTTAACACAGGATGTTTTAGCAAAGGACATCCCACCTCACTCCACCTTGTGCAAAATCGGCCCCTGGGTGTGTAAGAGGCAGAATTCAAACCCAGCCGTGGTTGAATGGCACCGCTGATCTCGCCAATTTGCTCAGCCCTTAGAAAAACTTGCAACATGGTGAAAGCAGACAGAGTCTGTGGCTGCTCCAAACTTCCGGCGCGCTTCGGGAATTTGGACCTTGTATAACGACAGTGGAGTTAGAGCTCTCTTCAGTACATAATCATGAGCATGAATTACTCACATCACCAGCTGAAGTTTGAACTCACTCTTCTATGAACAAAATCCTGCAGTTTTTGCATTAATTATAGTGAGGCTAGACGGTCGTTTACATGTGTTTTCAAAGATGGGCAAAATTTTGATGCACTTCAAGGAGATCAGGGGAAGACGCGTATAGAGAAGTGAATTTCAGAGACTCTGAAGCGCCTGCATAAAGGGCCGAGACTGGTGAAATTTCAGAGGTGGCACAAGAATGGGGAGGCAGCTTCTTTTGAAAAAATGCACCATTTGTGCATTTACTCAAGTAATGTTTATTGAGTACCTACTATGTGCCAGGCACTGTTCTAGGCACAGGGGAAATGACAGTGAATGAAACACAAAATCCTTACCCACGTGGAACTTACATGCTGGTGGCGGGTTGGGGGGCACGACCACAGACAGTAAACAAAGAAAATTAGTAAAATGATCGTCTGTCCAAATGATGCTTAAGTGCTAAAGAGAAGAGCAATGTAGAGATGGGAGACAAGAAGGACCAGGGCAGGGGTGGCAATTTTAATTAAAGGCCTCAGGGAAGATCTCCTACCTGAGTGGGAACTTTGGAAAAATAGTAGTGTGTGACACAGGTCATTTCCTGTACTCCTGAAGCACCCCAGAGGCATGGACTAGAATCTGCCCTGAAGGCAACAATTTTTTTTTTTTTTTTAACCTGGAGCAGTCCTGGTTCTGCTGCTCCCAGAAAGTCCCTGGGTGACAAGGGTTGGATTAGACCCGTGCTGTTCCATGTGTGGCCCCTGGACCAGCAGCATCAGCATCACCTGGAGCTGGTTAGAAACGCAGAGTCTCAGACCTCTAACAACTTCCCAGGTAGTGCTGATGCTGCGGGTCCTGGGACCACATTTTGAGAACCTCTGCTTTACATAAAATAGTCGTTTGACAAAACCAGGCTTTATTTTCCAGCCTGACATTTCAGCATGTGAGATTTTTTTTTTTTTTAAAGGATGGTCGATCTTTGCTGATTATTTTTCGGGCTCTTCTGCTGTTACGTCCCTTGGCCTCATTCTGTGGACTTGAATGTTGTTTGTCATCGTCTCTCCGGTAAATATTTGTGTGATGAGTCAACAAGTTAAGGCGTGATTAGGAACCTGGGCTGTAGGTCAGACACACAGACCTATATTTGAATCCTGACTCTGCCACTAACTATGTGACCGCTTCTGAGCCCCAATTTCTTCCTCTGTAGAAAGGGGAAAATAATATCTGCCTCACTAGATTGTTTAAAAAAAACAGCTCCATGAGAAAAATAAGGCAAAATGCTCAGCCATACCTGGCCCATTATGGGACCTTAATAAATGAAAACTAGTACTGTTACTAGCCTTATGAATTAATTTTGGGGTGCTCCTCCATCCGGGAAACCAGGATGCTTCTGCATGTCTTACCTCTTTCCCTCCTCCTTTGGTTTAATATACTTCCTCCGGAATGATCATCAGCTGTCTTGTTGGCCTTCTGAATAGAGAGATTAATGAACTAATAGGAAATTATGCTCCGAAAGCAATTTGCATTTGTCCAAATTGAGGCGTTTTCATCTAATAGGTTCCTGAGCGCGGAATGGAGTTTAGTTCTAAGTGGTCGGATGTCAGCACAATCCACGTATTGTCTGATGACTGTGGATTCAGCTGGCCGAAGTTTGTTTCTGCAGGAAGATGCGGATGGATATCCTAGGCCTTGATCATGTGTCGTCTGAGGTCTTCCTCCTTCTGAGGGTCCTTCCGCAGGTTTCGGCAGACCTGACGGTTGGTTCCTTGGAAACCTGTCCACTCGTGTCTGCGCTTCTTGCAGGAAAATGCACAAGAGTGATTTGGGTGGCTGTGCTCTAGAAAATGAGTCTGAACCAAGATGCTTTTTTTTTTTTCTCTCTCTGCACGGGCTGGAGTGTGGGAGGGAGAGGGGCATCTTCTGAAACCACCAGCAGAGAAGTAGCATTTTCACTGCCTGTCTCTTACGCGTGTTTTAGCCACTCCACGCTCCTCTTACAGACCGGCCTTCTGGCTAGGTCAGCAGCTGCGGCTGCGCGTCTGCCATATGAGGGATTCTGTGCCCCCATTCAGGGTACGAGGGTGAAAAAAGACACGGGTGCTGCTCTCTCCGTTTGCGCACAGTCACCGCCAGCTCTCAAGGCGTCCCCTGGAACACAGTGGGAGCTTAGAATGACAGCTTCTGAGCTGCTCCCAAGACTTCCTGGCCCAGACTCTGGAGACAGGGCCTAGAAATCTGCATTTTTAATAAGCCTCCCAGATCACTCATATTTGCACTGAAGTTTGAGTAAGGAACTGGATCTAGGGGTGGTTAACGAGGTAGATAACTACTACCACAGGGGCGGTGCCTGGGGCTACACCTGTACGGGGAGGCATCTTGTGCATCGGGGGAGGCTGTCTCAAAGGACTTGGGGGTCTTGCGGGAAGCGTAGGAGTCAGCCAGGTGAAGCAGGGGTGGGATGTCTGGGCAGAGGAAACAGCCTGGACAAAGGCTTAGATCAGGACTTGAAAGAGCCTGAGCATGTTTTGCAATTCTTTGTACCAGATAGGGCCTGGGAGAGAGGACTCTGCTTTGCAGCTGCTCTGCTGGAACCCGGCCGGCTGCTGTGACTCACGCTGCTGCGTCCTGA